CAATGGAATATTACTCAGCCATAAGAAAAAAACAGATCCTACCATTTGTAACAACATGGATGGAGCTAGAGGGTGTTATGCTCAGTGAAATAAGCCAGGCGGAGAAAGACAAGTACCAAATGATTTCACTCATATGTGGAGTATCAGAACAAAGGAAAACTGAAGGAACAAAACAGCAGCAGAATCACAGAACCCAAGAATGGACTAACAGTTACCAAAGGGAAAGGGACTGGGAGGATGGGTGGGAAGGGAGGGATAAGGACGGGGAAAAAGAAAGAGGGCATTACGATTAGCATATATAGTGCGTGAGGGGCACGGGGAGGGCTGTGCAACACAGAGAAGACAAGTAGTGATTTTACAGCATCTTACTATGTAGATGGACAGTGACTGTGAAGGGATATATGGGGGAGACTTGGTGAAGGGGGGAGCCTAATAAACAATGTTCTTCATGTAATTGTAGATTAATGATACCTAAAAAAAAAAAGATCAACATGTTCATTACAATTTTACTTGTCAATAATACCTCAATAAAGCTGGGGAGGAAAAAAAATTAATATTTGCTTCTCTTCAAGGAATTTACCAACAATCACCAACAAGTTCTTTGTGATTTTTTGAAATGTAAATTCAGCACTGTATTCAGTGTTACAGGAGAATATAAATTAAGGAAACATCTTTTATTTTCAAGGAATTGATAATTTCACTAGAAAAGAATACTAAGATGCCAGAAAACATCAAGAATTAATATTAAACAGATATTCAAATACTGTCAAAAACACCAGGAAATGAATATAAGAATAATTAAATGCCAAATTGTGAGTGGATTAGACTTGGAAATACGAGCCATTTGAATGAGAAGGGAGAGAATGAAGCCATGTAAAGCTCCCCAGAAAAGATGAGTTTTGAGCTGCATGCTGAAGTTTGGGTGGAAGTGGGATGGGAGAGCAGGTGAAAGAATGGTATTCCAGGTTGAGGAAAGAAGATGCTCAGGAACAGAAGCACAGAGGAGGTGGTGAGCGTGTTATTTGTAAGACTTGTGGAGACAGGCCCAGGTGCTCCCATTACCGAGGCTTCCTGCCCACTATGCTCTGCTCCCGTCAGGCACAGAATTCCAAGGGCGTGTTCTTCTGTTCACAGGTATGAAAGTTGCCTTGTGTTGTCATTTCTAATTTGGTGCTTTGAACCTCAGTTTTCTAGAATATCTTATGTCATAGGTTATTCAAACCCTGAAAGGTTGTTTGAAAAAGGACTTTTATGGCAATAGGATCATAAGGAAGGTACTGAATAAATGTGTATCTCCAGGAGAAACTATGACTGGATATTTAAAATGTAGGTTTGACTCTTGTAGAAACAAAATATTTCTTATAGAAACAGTAAAAATAATATATGCATAGTTTTTTAATCCAGTCACTAACTTTGTCTTCATAGTTGAGGTTATATTATGGTATTATTTTTAATTTTCAATTTTGGTGTTCATGTTACATTCTTAGGATTTTTATGCAAAGGTTATCAATGCAGTCTTTTCAATGTGACCTTTAAATCCTATGATATTAAAATATGCATATATAAAATTAAAAAAAAATTATGCAAGTGAAATGAGTAAACTAAAAGCATGTTGGAGGGAAAAGTAATATTCAGAGGGTGAAATGTTATCTATTAATCAAGTTAGAGCTGAAAGACAGTACATTTTTTATTTGACTTATCAACATATCAAGACCTGAAGGGATGAAGCAAAAGGAGCTGCCTGGATAGTAAATATTTCTACTTAAGCAATAGTCATTTAAGTTAAACCCATTTAAAAAGAAAAAGAAAGATGAGACAGTATCTAGAAGGAGGGTCTGATCTAAAGGCAACAACTGATTGATTTCCTATTGTTAAGAAAATATGATGATAAGGAATAGACCTATAGATGAAGATGAGAAATATTTCTTCTTTTCATTCCCAGTATTCATGGATATGAGTCAGTTTATCCTCAGTGGATGTCATTATGTTGCCTAGCATGGAGGAAAGATATTTGAGCATGGGGGAAAGATGTCTGAACAAGACCAGATGACTTTGTTTCTTGAGGTCTGTCAACAACCACCCTAGCACTCGGGAGAGGTAGCTGAGGCTCCAGGTTCTCAGGCATGGGAAAGATCTTGGAGACCATCACCTAGCTCCCTTCCTTGCCTACGAGGATATGGAGGTTAGGAGGTGTGAAGAGAATAGCAGAGGGAATATAAAATTGTCTCTTCTCGTTCATATTAGCCCACCAAAATATTCACTTTTGACTATTTTCTTCACAGTACAACTTCAGTAGATTAAGACCATTTTTAGTTTTTACTAAAACTTGTTCAATTACCCTTTCATAATTTCTTCTCTGACAAACCTGGGTACTTCTCCCCCAGCATGAGTACTCTGTTACAAAGACGCCTGCATTTATAACCCAGGGTGCTTTAAGGCACTGGGTTACTCTAGTGCATTGTGTCCTAACAGAAATGCGGTCCTGAGTTCACTCAAGTTTCAGTGGGTCGGGGGATATTGCCATAGCCCTGGCTTCTTCCTTCCCCTGGTCTTCTCTTCCGTCTTCCTCCCCTCCTCTTGTCTGTTGGATCTCTGTCCTCCATGAGAAGTTGGGGAATGGGAGGGCTTACTGGGTCCAGCCCGAGTTTAAACCTCCACATTCTTCTGCCCTCAGTTTTGGATGGATTTTCAAGGTCCTTAGGCTTTAAGGCATAAAAGACTCTGGGTTTAGGCTTTTCGGTGTTCTATGAAACACAGTGAGGAGAAAGGTATTTTTATATTTTTGTGTAAGTATTTGTGTAGGATCACCTCTCTAACATGGTCATTTTCTTCAGGCAACTGCTAGACCATGGCTTATAAAACATGTCCAAGGGTTTGCTTCATATCTTTTAGTCGAATTTAAAAATCAAAATATATAATGCAATTAAGTACTTTAAAATTAGACATTTCATTTCAATTTATATACATACCCTTTCACAGGATTAACTAGTAGCTATTAATGTGCACTGTAATTGAGTTTTAGTAGTTACTTTGAGGAAACAATCCTATTACTCATCTAGTACTAGTTAAGTTTTTAAGGTATATACAATGCATTTATACTTTTAGTCTTGTTCACCAAATTCTTTAGCACATGATAGACAGTATGGGAGAGTCATTTGGGCAAAGTTTACTCAGTTTCATCTTCATTCATTCATTCATTCATTCATTCAACATTTTATTGATTGCTTACCATCTTCCTGGTGAGGTGACAGGACTTCCAGGATATAAAGAAAAAGGTCAAGGGTCTGCCCTCAAGAAAGTCGCTTCAGTTGTGCAGCCAGGGGTCTGGATGGGGTGGAACACATCAAAAGCAAGTCCGAGGGACCTTATTTCAATGGTGCATAATCCCTCACAATCTAAAATTATATTCGAAATCATACTTCACCTTATAAACTAGGAATTAGGTTTCGACTAGTCTCACTTGATTTAAAACCATTACTGTCCATTCTTTGCCTTGCCAGTGTTTGAAGTTCGGCTTTAATATCACTCGCTTGGAAAAGGCTGTGCTAGCATTCTGGAACTTAACGATGAAGTTCAGTGTTTACATGTGGGATAGAGTAGGGAGGAAAACGACCATTAATTACAAAGTTCCGTTTGTGAGAGCCTGCCAGGCTTTTAAGTCTCAGAAACACGAGAGCGGATAAGCGGATAAAGCTTTCCTCATTTATAAACGAAACTCGCACGCGACTTCCCGGCGGGACTGGGGGACGTGTGGTGCCCCGGGACGCGGGCGGGTGGGGCGCCCGGCCACCCCTCCCCTTCCCCCCAGCATCGCCCGCCGCCGGTGCTGGGTCTGAGGCCCGCGTCCAGCAGCGCGGCCGACGACCAGGGCTCTGGGGTCTGCGGGTTGGGCACGGGCGGCCCTCGGGACTGGAGGCGACAGTGCGCACGGAAGTGCTCCCGGCTCGCCCCACTCGGAGGCCGTCTCTTCTCCTCCACTTCCTCCTGCGCCGCGGCTCAGCCTCCGAGCCGGCTCCTCCTCCTTCCCCGCCTGCGGCGGCGCCCAGGCCGGGGGTGCGGCGCGCAGGCCCGCAGTCCCGCAGTCCCGAGCCCCAGACGCGGCGTGGAGCGGCCGGGAGGCGAGGGGCCCGCGCGCTGCGTCACCGCCCCGCGCTCAGGGCCCCACTTCCCGGGAGGCCGCTCGGAAGCTCAGCCCTCCTGCCTCCCCCGGCGCTGTCCGGGACTCGCGGGGAGCCGGCGGCCGGCAAGTTTCGGGCGCCCAGGCGGCGGTGGGCCGCGGGCACCGTGAGCTCCGGACGGGCGGCCGCGGCGCGAGCTCCGCGCCCTGCGTGCACTTCGGCGATGACTTCGCCGCCGCCGTGGCGGCTGTGCCTTCGCCTCCGCCACCTCCTGCTGTTTCTTCCCGGATTCCTGCTGCCTCTTTGCGGCGCCTTCAACCTAGACGTGGACAGTCCCGCCGAATACTCCGGCCCCGAGGGAAGTTACTTCGGTTTCGCGGTGGATTTCTTCGTGCCCAGCGCTTCTTCGTAAGTGGCCGCACTTGGGAGGGGAGCCGGCCCGCTTCCCCACGGCGCGCACCCACCCAGCGTCTCCCCGGAGGGAGGGATCCCTGGGAGAGCCCGGAGTCTGTCTGCCCGTCCCTTCCACCCCACCGGGTGGTTTAGATTCTGGGTGCATGAAATATTTGGGGAAGATGAACCCTCTGGGCACCCACCGCTCGGGTCCCCCCTCTCCTCTCCGCAGAGGGAGTGCTTTGAAGCAGACCTGAGCTTAAAAAGTGAGAACTGTGAGAACTGGAGAAAGTGAGAACTGAACAAAGGCTGGTGGGGTCAAGACTCCACGCCGCCTCTGCGGGTGTAGGGGACTTGGTCAGTGTCCTCTCCGAGCCTCGTTTTCTCCCGGACAGAGTAGCCTCCCAGGTAGCCTCCTTCCGTTTCAGAGACTTAAACACCCGTCCCTTTTCCCTCTCCCTAAACCAGCCCTACCCCGCTCTTTCCGCTGCTCAGTCTTACTCTGTTTCTTTTTTACTCCTTTTCCAAACATTATCATGACTAAAATGACCACACTTTTGTAGTAAGTTCACTGTGTCTTATCTCTTGGACTGTCAGACTTTTGCGAGTTGAGGGAGAACAGATGAATGTGTCATCTGTTCTTTTTATAGTGATTCATTGTTTAGGTCATTGTTCAGAAAGAACAAGGGTGTTTGCTGAGTTTTCACTCGCTACAGGTTATTTGAATACTGCAGTATTTCAAAATTGAGTTATGTTTTCAAAATGCCAACGTTTCGCATTTTAAAGACCGTCAGGATTTGTAACACTTTTTGCCATTATTGGATTGAAAGTTGTGTTTGACTTTACAGAATACTGACGTCATTCACACCACACCACCCCCGTATTAGCTTTGGAAATACTGATTTAATAAGAGTTCACTGGGTGTCTTCTGATGTTTAAATCTTGTTTTCACGAGGGAGAACTGCTCTTAGGGTTTCTGCTAAGCTCTTAGAAATGTTTTTGTTTCTAAATTTGCTCTATATTTTAAAGTATTGCTTTTTGGCGGAAGAGGGAGGGTAATTTTGATGGTCACTGCTTAGATAGGACCATTCTTCCAGTTCATACATGCCTGGTTTAAGGGTGATCTAAATATTTTTCCATGACTGTTGAGAACATTCAGCAGGATGTATTCTTACTTTCGTTCGGAATGTTGCTGAATACCATTCACTTTGGTGACAGCTTTTGCAGCAATAACTAGGTTGGAAGCAGTTAGTGGAAACTAGACATTGTTTTATATAGTGAACTCAGTTCTGTTGTTTCCAGCTTCATTGCTTTCTATGAGACCTGAGCACTGATTTTCCAGTATGATAAAAAAATAATCATTAACTTCAGGCAACATTTACTACCTTGTCAGCCTTATCTGTTATTTAAAATTTTTTTTTTGTTTCCAGACATTTTTAAGCATATGGCTATATGGTCCAGAGCATTGTAGTTCCTTGAAAAGGTGCTCTTATGCATTTAACTTGTACAGAAATTCTAATAATTTTGAAAATACATAAGTTTTTGTCAGAGTGAGTACTTAATTTAGCAAAAGTTAGCCCTTAAATACTTGGGAGTTGATGGAGTGTTTTGCAGATGTGGCTCTTAATTCTGTGGCAACCCTCTGAGTTTAGTGGTGTAAAGATACAGGAGAGGATAACAAACTAAGATTTTTTACTATGGAAAATAAAGTAATATTGAACTGTTGGCATGAGGTATTTACTATTTTTGGTTAACAAGGTTGGATGGCTGATTTTTGACTAGACATTGTAGTTGTTGAATATATGCTGTGACCTAGCAGGAAACATGACCACCCACGTGGGCCTTCAGTGGTCAGGTAAAATGAACTTGGTTTGGTTACATAAAATAATATGAAACTCTTCATCAGTGATTTTGTTGCTGATAGATTAAGAGCTCTATGTTAGTCTTTCTACTAAAAAATAAGAATAAACTGAGTTTTTTTAAAAAACATATATAAACAAAGGTTTCTACTTTCAAAACTATTCGTATTTAACAAAGATTCATGCAATATTATGCTTAGTTTTGTAAAAAGGTAGTTTAAAATTTAACAGGCCTTGTAATTCAAGGTACACAGGGATGCCATTTATAATATTATCAGCTGCATTATTGTAGCTGTTACTCAGTGTGATCATAAAATTGAAAAGGAAAAAAAATCCACATGAAGTATTTGCTAATTTAAGATTCCTTTCTTCTGATGGGAGAATGCCTAGATTAATGAGGAAGCAATGGTTATAAAGTGCCCTCCCACTGCTTCCTGTGTCTATAGGTGTTTAAATACCTCCCACAAACTAAAGAACTGTATTATGTGTCATTTTTCTTGTTACAGAAAATTGTTATTGAATTATTTCTGCACGATTGTGAAAACTAATGAACCAATGTTTATTAAAGAGAAGGGCAAATAAAGTACTAAGCAAAAATATTCACCTGTCCCAAGAGAATGCCTCCAGAAATAAGTATTAAGGCTTGAAGTGAAATGTCACAAAAACAGTATTTAAAAATTATGAAAAATAAAAAATTAAGCATTCCATGTTTATTTCATGTTTGCAGTAATTTATGGTGACTATAATATTGCCAAACTTACATAGAATTTAAAGATCGTATACAGACTAAGAAGTCATGTATTTCTTGTGGAGTATAATTGGAGAAATTAAACTTTGCACCCTAGGTTTAATTTTAATGATGATATCTTGCATTGATTAACCTATAATTACAGAGCACTTTCACCTCTGATAGATTTCCTTTCACTCTGCAGCACAAACCACCTGTGAAGCCGAAGCCAATCGACTCATTCTAACAGTTGAGGAAACTGGATCTAGAAGAGTTCTCAGCCTTTAGTTTGAGTGGGTTGGTGGTGTAGGGTAGATGGTAAGGCAGGATGAAAAGGCAAAGGGTATGCAATTCAAATTCCATTTAATTTTTATATTCAGGTTTTACATTTTTAAGAAGAAAATAATTGAACAATTTATTCAGATGTAAGTTACACAGTTCTTATTTTACATACATATTTATTTTTCACTCATGCTATGATGACCAACACTAGATTAGAATTTTTGCCCTTTTCCCTGTTAATGCTCATGGAGCCTTACAAATGGTTACTTTGTGTCCCTGTGACCCCAGAGGCAAGGTGTGGGTGAGAGCATGTCCTGGTTCCAGAAGGCCCTGCGGAAGAGTCAGTGGTGCTCAATCCTGACATCCTGTTGGCAGCACCTGGCAGCACCTGGAGAGCTTTTAAAATAAAACTGCAGCCCTGGTTGCATCTTAGAGCTAAAAGCAGAGCTCTAACCTCATATTCTAAAAGCCTGTGGATTGATTCTCCTTGACCTCAATTTGACTAAAAATGAACTTTTTTCACCCAGTGGTGTCAGTTGCACCTGTTTCTATTAATGGTGCTGTCATTTGCTCTGTTGCCCTGGAAATAATTTCATATTCCTCCCTCTCATTTTCTATTTTTCCTTGTCTCTCCTACTGCACTCCCCTAATATTAGTCAATGATTAGTCACCAGGCAGAAGGTACTAGAAATTCTTCCTTGTTAATGTTTCTTGCATCCATCCCTGCCTCCCACTTCTACTTCAGCCTCTTTATTTCAGCCCAGTCATCACAAACGTGGTTCCTGGTCCTCAGGTCCTCAGGTCCTCATCCCCCTGCCCATCGCTGGGCTCTCAGACCTGCCAGACACCTTACATGTTTCTAGTAGTCTTACCTTCCTGGGTGTCTTGCCAGTCGGTTTCGGCCCCAGGCAAGTTCACTATGGATTCAATGTGACCAAAGAAAATGACAGTAAAATGTTCTTGGGGTGAAAGGGTTATACCCAACTTTATTTCCATGGTGGCAGGTCAGTCACTAAAATCCCATTCACTCAGAGCAAGTCGGCATGCAGCAAGCTGGTCTCTGCCTCTGGGCCTCTTGGCCCACATGGTCAGCCCACACAGCTGCCCTCTGGGCCTCTGTCCTTGGCGCTGCCAAGCACTCCAGCCTCTGCTCTGCTCTCCTGCAGCTGCGCCATCGTGTCGCCCAGAGCACTGGGCAGAACTCTTTATATAGTCAATAACTATCTACTGTCCACGTGCGTAGTGAGCTAGCCAACCAGGGCCAGGTGAGAATCCTGGCCACAGGAACCTTCACTTTATCCACACGGGGGCATCTTTTTGATCCTGGTATTCTACTGCTAAAATGTCCTCAACAGTGCTCCAGGGCCAGAAAGTCTGTCCAAACTGCTTAACCGAAATGAGTCTCTTTCAAGTCTGTCCCAGTCTGCATGTGCTTTCCAGGTTCACTTCCCATTTCTCCTCTCACCATTGTAACCATCTTTGCAACCCTTTACAAAATGATGCCAGCTCATTTTCATGAACTTACGGTGGCTCTGGCTATATTGATTCTTTTTTTTCTTATTATAAATAGTATACATGCATAGACTATATAGCTTATTATTTAGGAAGCAAATCCTATGCTGATTACTCCTGATTAAGGCCTTTTATAGGACATTATAAAAAGGAATATGTGTAGGATTTATAGTTACTACGTCTGTTTTATGTCATATGTATGTTGACTCCATAGCATTTTTTTTCTTTTTTTTTAATTGACGTAGAGTTGATATGCATTTTTTTTTAATGGGAAGTAAATCTGGGTTTGGAATTGTAGTTCTGAAATAACATTCAGCATTATTTTGTACACATTTCTATATTTGTGTATGATGATTTTTTCAGAAGTTGCTTTTGGTAAAGGCTCATTGGTCAACCCAGTGTCTGCCAAATATATTAAATACCATTTTTGTCTTAGAGAAGTCAGTGCTGAAAGCAGCCAAAAAACTTAGTTCATTTGGAGGGTTTAAAAAATGTACTTGTCCTCTTTCTCCCTTTCTCTTTAACTCCTCCCATCCCTCAACACACACTCTGCCTTTATCTTTTAGGATTTCTTGGCAGGATAGTAATAGCCTGCCCATGTGTGTAAATCTTAATTTTGAGTTGTTTAATGGAATTGTCATTTTAAATGTGAAGTAATTTTTAAAAGAATGGTGAGGATGGGGATCCTGATATTGTTCTTGGGGGAACTTTTAGGAGGGAGATGGGGTCTGTCAGGAGAAAGTTGCAGGTGCAAAGGAACTAAGTTGCTCAGCTTCAGATTTTTCTCTGCTAGTTATGGTAATCTCTTTCAGCCTCAACTAACCTCATCTGTCTTCCCCAACTCTCCACCATTGTCAGGAAATGTTGAATGCTAATAACTATTTCCCACCCTTTGTTTTTTTCTTTTGAGACATTGCCTTTGAGCTAATGGTCCTTTGTGAAAAATAAGGAAAGAAAAACCCTTTTGAAAACAGATATTATTATTAGGAAGTATTTTATTAAGTATCGTTCAGGTTCTGATGCCATCATCTTGTATTTTTATGATGCTTTCAGGTTTTCTGTTTGCTTTTATTATCCATGTTCAGAAAATTTATTTTTTAAGTAATTATAGTGGGCATTATTATTTCCATTATATGATGGGAAAAACTGAGGCTCAGAGATTTAAAGTGACTTTCTCAGTTGATTTATATTAGGTGACTATACTTTTTAGTCCCAAACTGTCCACTAGACAACGCTGCTTCTTCTGCAGTTTTTCTTTTTTTCTGGTCTTTTATTTCTCTTACCTTAATTAGGCTGTTGTAGACATTCATCAGACATCCTTAGATGAATTTCAAGTAACAATTATTCAATTTTTTATGAAGTGTTTCAGAAGCAGGCTGTTTTTTGTTACTGTGGCAATAAAACCACATGACATAAACTCACCCTCCCAACACATTATAACAGGCTTTTGTTTTCTTTAATATGTGCTGTTTTTCTATTCCTTTATTTTCTCATAGAGCATCTGTCATCATCCTGTACTCTTCATTCTCTACAAATATTTAATTTTTGTCTATACAACTCCCTCTTAGGATTTAACGTTTGTCTAAGGCAGTTATACTTTCTCCATCTCCATTTTTCTCTCTTAAAAACTTCCTGTAATACTTTTAAAAGTAACTTAAATATCATGTTGACACTTTGGACAAGGAGCTTTATTCTTCAGCTTTTTCCCCCATTAGCTAGACTAGCATTAGAAATGGACAGTACCACACATTCCCTTTATACTGTTGTACCATTTCTGGGGCATTTCACCAGTGTGCAAGACTGCACATGAAGGTATGCTTAGGAAAACTTGATGAACACCCATATTAGTAAATCTAATTACTATCATTTCATGCCTATAATGTGCAAAATGGTGTCATGAAAAGCTGAAGCTTTGTTCCTGGTCTTATCCAATGAACTTGAGCTATGTGCTGTCAGTAGAGTGTAGTTTTCATTCAGAACTCTCCTACTGTGCCCTTTTTTTTTCAGTCTTTGCTGAAGTCTGTGTGCCCTAATAATTCCCTGACCTCTCTGTCTTATAGTGCCAAGTAAAGGAAGTATCTGAAATCTGAAATTAAGAAGAGATAATTTTACATAAAGAAATTATTTATTGGAGAATGATTTCTGCATTCTAGAGAGGTTGGTGATAGTAAAAATGGCTTAATTATATATGGCTGTATTAAGATTGAGACCCGTAATGAATTTATTTGCTACTCAGCTGTCATTTTCAAAAACATCCTTTGAGTGCTTATTATGTGCCAGGCATAAAGATGAATTAGTCTCCTCCATTCAAGGAAGCAATTTATTAGAAGGTAGGAAGAATAGCTTTAATAAAAAATTATAAAAGATTCTGATGTGCTTATGTGGTAACAGTCCAAAAATGAGTTTTGCTTGAACTGAGGTTTTTAGGCAAATTCTGAGAACCAGCTCTTCTGTCCTAATCTGGAACCTAGCCATTATCCACAACACTAGAATCATATGCACACCTGTGCTTGTATTACACTTACTAAGACTGTTGCAGGAACGACCCTATCTATTATGCCTTTTCAGGTATAGACCCTGTAAAGTACACTTGTCTGAAATGTTATTTTTCCCTATCAGGCACTCAAAAGCCATTTAATTTAGATGTAGAGAGGCAGTTCTGTGATTTTTGTGGCCAAATTTTTGACCTATTGAAATGAGAAATTTCATATGGTTAAACCGGTTAGCAGCTCTGTTGTAGAAAACGAGGGTGTGATGACAATTCATGGGGGGTGAAGGTTTTCCTAATTGGCTGTGGTAAGAAAGCTCCAGCACTGGTGTCTTACTGCTGCCAAATATGACTGCATAAAGCTTTATTAAACAGGGTGTGGTTTGCTTGGGGTTTTGTCTTTGAGAATGGAGTTTAAAGAGAAGTGTCAGAGAGCAGGATTCTATAATCCAGCAATTCAGGCAGCTTAGCTCTTGACAGAAAAAACTGATAAAAGTTAAAATGAATGCATTCCATTTTTAAGATGTAGGTTTGTTCATAATGTCACAAAAAGTGGAAAGCAACTGTTAAGTATTTTCTTTGCTAGAATAATTTGTGACTTACTATTTTAGCAAGGAAATGAAATGATAATGGTGACATAGCATTTATTGAGGGTGTTCTGTGTCTAACTATATCCTGTTTTTCTGTATTTCAGTCAGTTTCTTCCAGTGTCTTTTACTATATCCTCTTTCTCTACCTGACGCCTGTATGTTTCCCCCTCAGAGCTCATTCTTGGACCCCTTTCTCTCTGAAGCTTCTCCCAGCATGAACCCATCTATTCCAAGTTGACATTCTCAACATATTATCTGTAGGTCAGGACTCTCCTCAGAGCTCCAGACTACCAATTAGGCATCGCACAGATGTTTTGGACCAACACATTGAGAACTGAATTCTTGGTTTTTCTCTGTTAGCCTTAAAAAATAGAAGTTATTTTACCAGCAAAACTAGGTTTATTTGGGAATAGCAGAGAATTGCAATTTGTGACAAGCAAGTTATGGCAAATCCATAGGCATGTCCTGAACAGAGAAGACTGCTCTTTTATAGAAGGGGGCCCAGTGGGGAGGACTGTTCTAAACAAAAAGTCCATTGGAGTGAACTGGGAGTCTCATGTGTCATGGCTTCTCATTGGCTGAGTTGTGACAACAACCTCTAATTGGCTGGGCTCTTGCAGGGAGGGGAGAAGCTAAAACAGCCTGGCCTCTGTGTGGGGTCTGAGATTTATCAGGGGTGGTGCCCGTGAGAGCTTCCCCTGCTGGCCTCGGGACACCATGTCGTGAGGTCTCCCTTTATTAGCTTTCACACCTGTAAATATTTAATGTGTCTTCCGAGTCCCTATTTTCTAGGCTTTTCTAGCACAGTAAGTGGTTATCCTATCCATGCACTCCATAAAGAAACCCAGGGGACAATTTTAATCTTCCCTTTCTCCCATATTAGTCACTGGATATTCCTGTTCATTCTATGGCAGACTGTTCCCAAATCTGCCTACCCTCTTTCTCCAGCTACCCTCCCACTAAAACAGCATGGCCTCTGTGTGGGGTCTGAGCTGAGACCCCACACAGAGGCCATGCTGTTTAGGGCACTGCCACCTCCTCCCTCAGATGCTGGTCTCTTTCCTTGTTCTACTTTGCCCCACTGCCTCCTTAATCCTTGCCCCTAAGGCACAAAAATTTAGTTTTCTTTGTTAAATTATGTCATTCTTTTGCTTAAAAAAAAAATCCAAATCTTTACACACACCTTAAGATAAATCCAAAGATTTTACCCTAGATAAACGGCCCGACTTGATTTAGCTCTTGCCAAGCTCGCTAGCCTTACCTTGTGCCATTCCCAGCTTGCTCTCCTGCTTCAGCCACATGCCTGCGAGCTTGGTCCTGCCTCGGGTCTCTGTCCCTCTGCCTTGGGTGCTCCCCTCCACCTCTTCATGCTGCTCTCTTATCCCGCCTTTTCTGCCTTGCTGCCCACCTTCCCACACACACAAACACACTCTGGCAGCCTCCTCTTAATCCTGTATATATCAGTTTACTTAGAGATAAATCCTCATGCTACTTCAAAGGATGACTTCCTTAGACTTCCCTTTATCCAAAGGTAGTCTCCTCTCTTTTCCTTAGAGATAACTTTCCTTTATCTAAAGAAGGCTGCCCTTCTCTATTCCCAAATTACCTCTTCATAGGTTGTTGGTTTCCTTTCTAGCACTTGTAACAGTACCTAATTTTTTCGATTTCTCCCCAAACAGAATATAAGCTCCACTGAGAGCAGAAAACAAGGTTGTCTCATTAATCCTGGTGTCTCCAGTGCCCAGCACCGTCCCCTATATAAAGGAGACACTCAGTCCACATCTTTTTCTAAATGAGTAGAAAACAACTAACGAAAAGATCACCTTTACTTAAAAATTTGACTCCTGATTATTATGTCTTCTGCAAATTTTACCCTAATAAGAAACTGAATAGTGTTCTCTGAGCAGGGGTTGAGTAGATTAATCCTGTGAAAAGAGATTTGTTAGTCACTATTTTTTTAAAAAATTGATGTACATTAGTTCTAAAACAAGATGGGTTTTCCAAATGGAAAAATTATAACATTTAGAACTACCATACTTTAGAATCATTTATTCAGAATCATATTTTATCTCATTCAGCATTTAGGGTATAGAAAGTGCATAGGAAACCACACACACAAAAAAACCCTACAAAAATAAAAACAAAATGTCCCTGGTTCTAGCCAAAATGCCAAAATACATTTTAACAGCTTTATTGAGATACAATTGACATACAATAAACTATACATATTTTAAATGTGCAATTTGACCAGCATCAATTTTTAAGTAATCCTGAAGTTGCCTTATAATACATTAGGATGAGTAAACTGTATTGAATAACATATGTATATAAGACAGCACCAAATGAAGAAGATAAATTATACCCTCAGAGAGCTGCTTTAAAAAAATAATTGTGGGAAATGTCAAGAGAATGAAAGTTCTTCCCAAATCATAAGATGCTATGTATGCTTTGTGCCATTTAAAACCTTGTCTTCCCTTTTATATTTTAGCAGGATGTCTCTTCTGGTAGGGGCACCCAAGGCAAACACCACCCAGCCTGGGATTGTGGAAGGAGGGCAAGTCCTCAGATGTGACTGGTCTGCTCACCGTGGGTGCCAGCCCATAGAATTTGATGCAACAGGTAAATGGCAATGCAGTGTGGTCCCTTTTCTTTATATCATTTGTTTGTTTGTTTGTTTTACATTTTAATATTTGAAAGCACTTGCTTTATCTAAATATAACAATTTAATGAAATAAGGCTTATAAGCACTTCAGATCCCCAAAGTTATATGAAGACACGTGATATATAATTTTTTTCCTACAATTTTGTGACGTATAAAAGCCTTAAAAGTACATCGTGTTTTCCCTGCTTTGGATGTCTTTAGCTTTAAACTGAATAGTGTCAGTCTGCAGAACTCTGGGGAAAATCTATTCAAATCTTTTGCATTTCTTCTGAGAAGAGGGAGCATGGCTTTTTGTCCTTTTCATGTTGACTTACTGACAGCTGTAGATCAACTCCCTAATCACAAAATAATGTAAGCCTTGAGTTGTGCTGCCAAAACCAGGTGAGGATCTTTTATATTCAAGAAGATTTGGTTGACTTAAAAAATAAAATAAAATTTCTAAACCTGAAATTTATTGAGAAAATAATGTGTTATGGTTTTGATAACAATAAAATTTTATCTACAGGGACAAATTTCAGTGTCTGATGTAAGTTGAAGGAGAAAAAATAGCACAAGGAAGATGAGAAATAAGGAATAACTTAAGTTTTACATTTATATCAGTGATATAAATTATATGTACTCCTATACCCATTTTTATTAGTATGTATTTCTATATTTGTGAAAGCTTAAAGAATCCTCAAAGAAATAATGTGCATCCTTCTTGTATAATAGTTTTAAAAACTTTTTTAACGATTCTGATTTGCTGGCTTTGACAGATTATTTTCAGATAATAAGCCTAAAGAAAATTAATCCTTTGTTTATATTGTTATTTCCTGCTACTTCTAAAATATTTTCATTATGTGAATTATAGTTATTAGTGAAACAGGAATCATGATGTAGGCTCTTCCATTTGATATCCAGGATCTGTGCCAAAAAGTAAGTGCCAGTCATTAAGCCAGTTCTTCATATGAATCAGATCCTTTGTTTTGTTTTTTTTCCATTTGAAACCATCTGCATTAAACACTGTTGTTTTTTCCATATATGGCTGACATTTGAAAAACTCCAAGAGTATGTACATAGGCTCAGTTTTATCACATATGGAAAAATATCTGTGATACAGAATTTTTTGGGTCAGGGCATTTATATCGTAATAAAATATGAATACGAATAAAATGAAACTACTTTTCAGTTTTGATAGGTTGAACTCTCCAGATATGTTTCTGTATCCAACATCATAGGTTTTTGTGTAGTGCAAGGTAATTTATTACTGGACTTTTTTGAAATTTGGTTTTATATAATACTTTATTGAAAAAACAGTATATGAACCTGGTAGGAAAAATTCCAAACAATCCAAAAGGGTATAACAATGAAAATGGCCTCTCACATCAGCCTTCTTAGAGGCAATCACGCTAAACAATTTGTTTTATTTATCTAGAATGTTTCTGGTCCCTATGAACGTATGCACGTTTAAAAAAAATCACTAAAAGGAATATACTAAATACTACTATTAGACATCTGACTCTCCCCACCACCCCCAAAAATATAAAGCTCTTATACAGCTTTCTATATTGACATAAATGGACTCATCTCATTCTTTGCAAACCACTGACGGTATTCTGTTCTGTAGTATATATCGCCTAATTTATTTAATTCATATTTGCTATTGATGGGCAGTTAGGTGTTTCCAGTCTTCTGTAATTATAAACCTTGCTATAGTGAAAATCTTATACACAGGTGTGAGTGCAAATGTGTATGTCTATAGGACAAAGTCCAAATGGGATTTTCAGATTAAAGCATATATATATTTAAAGTTTTGATGGATATTGCAAATTATTCTTTACAGCAGCTTACATCCCTCCATTTATGTTTCCTAAAGCACATGCCAGTACCACTTAATCAGTACTGAGGCATTAGTTAATATTTGGCCAGTACACATTCTCACCGTTCTCCCCAGTTGCCCTGGGTACCCGCTGACAGCTTGTTCTCTACAGCGGACAAAGTGATTCTTCTAAAATATTCAGGTCATAACACTTCTCAGATTCCACTAATACCTTCTTGTTGTCTCACAGAAGCCGAGAGGCTCTGAGTGTTCCAGCCCGCTCTTTCTGTCTTTACCTTCATCTTCTCTTCTCCCCTCCTTCACTCTGTCCAACCTCACTGGGTCTCTCTGCAGTATTGTGTAAACAGAAGACACATTCCCAACTCCCCTTGCCCAGGCGCTTTCCTCTGCCTGCAGCATTGTTTTCCCACATGTCCATTGTACTCCCTTCACCAGCTTTAAGAACTGCTTAAATACCATCTTTTGGTAATGCCCTGACCATCTTACTTAAAACTGCAATTTCGCCTTTGCCACTTGGTACTTCCATCCTCTTCTCTGCTTTGTTTTTCCCTGTAGTATTCACATTGCTTGTAAATTATTTATTTTTAGTTAATGTTTTTCTCTTAGGATGTATGTTCCATGAGGACTTCTTAAAAAATGTTCTGTTCACTGTTGAATTCCACAATACCCATTACCTAGCACTGGATGTTGCCCATAATAGATAAATGAGTGAATGAATCATAAGAGCTTTTTCTATAGTGAAGAAATAACTAAAGTTCTTTAGTTACGTATGTACAAATATATACTTTTTTGGTCTGTTCTCTCTTTTCCTTGCTCATGGTGTTTCTGTAGTCATTTTGGATAACTCTGAGACTTGTCTCATAAAAAGAATGTACATATGGACTTCATTTTTTATGTTACAATTTTTGTCCAAATAGTGTTTATTTGAATTTTTTTTATTGTCCTCTCTGTATATACCACCCTTCCCGTGTTCTCCCCCTACTGCTACGTTATGTGTGTTTATTTGAATTTAAGAAAAGAAGATAATATAAATTTCATTAACCTAGTCAACATAATGTGTATCTAGAAACAGCATTGTTAGACTATGTCTTGATTTCACAAAAGAGATGCTTCAAACTCCAGCACCTCCCTAAAATTAACCTTAGACCTCTGTCCTGAGGAGCTCTCACCCAGATACAAACATCTATTCACCACAAATGTCTTTGAGCTTTTCTATTATCTCAAGGACGACAGTGACTTTTCTCTCTTTCCATCTCAGTCCTGTGTCCAGGGAGATAGCAGCTGAGTGGAAAAGTGTGGTTTCCAGAGGCAAGATGTCTGGGCTCAAGCCCAGGCTCTGCCATGTACAGCTGTTTAACTTGCCCAGGTTACTGTCAGGCCACTGCATCACCAGACCTGCCCCACAGTTAGGCAGTAAACTGAGTGAGTGAATATTTATGAGCTGAGACATGTAAAGTGCTTAGTACAAGGACGCGCACGTTGCTATGGCTCAGTAATATAAACTGTGTTACGTCGTTACTACTTATTCCCTTCTGCTGTCTCAGGGACTCTGCCTATTCCCTCATTCATCTCTATGTCCCTGCTATACATTTGTCCTTTCCCTTTTTTTTTTTTTAACTTTCAAGCATTTTAAAATTATTTCTACTTACACCTGAAAAACTAATCTAAGCAGCTTCCCCTAGAGTACGTATCTTCTCTTAGTCATTTTCTTTTCTCCTCTTCACAGCCAGGAGATGGAATACTGTGCCTCTCCCCATCACTGCTGGGTTCAGCTACTGCATCTGGCAGCACCCTCATCCCTACCCAGCAGTGGCTCTAATTGGAATCATTAGTGGGAACCTTCTCCAGTGGACACTTTTGATCCCTCACCTTCTTGGACCTCTCTTTTGCAATTCCCCCCATTGACTGTTCCTTCCTTTAAATTTAAAGTCTCTGCTCTTTGTCCAAAACCATCATGTCCCCTTGTTCTTCTTGACCTTGATACTCTTGTGGAGTTTGCCCTTTGAGTCTTCCTTCTGCACTCATTCCATATTTGCCAAGTACCATGGTGTCATGAAAAGGAAATAGGCCTTGGAGTAGGACAAACTTTGGTTCAAATGCAGGCTCTGCCATTTTTCCAATGTTACCCTGGGAAAATACCTACCTTTCTGCATTCTGTAATGTATTTATGAGATGATTGTGAAGAGTTTAAATTAGTTTATCTCCTTTACTTTATTGTGTTTCTGAGTCCAGAAGAAACTTTAATCCTTAAAAGGGCTCTGTCCTCATGTTTTTTAATATTTAGGAAAAATTTATAAAATTCTGTATTTAAATTAGGTCTGATTTATATAATATGGTAGATAATACAATTACTCATCAGTAATATGTTTTTAAAATTTCTAGGAAAGACTTCAAGTTTAGCTTATGCCCACATGGCTTTTTCTAGCCAATAAAACATCAGCAGAAGTGTGTCATTTGTGGATAGGGGGTTTAGGAGGTGGGGTATTATTCTGCCCTTACCACACATTCTAGTGAGGAGTGACAGTGTAAATGACAGAGCCTCCATGAGTTTGGGCCCCTGGCTGAGAAAGACATGGAACAGAGACGCTTCCTGTCCCACAGTGTATGTGTACAAAATAACCCTGTTATTTTTGACTAATGGACTTTGGAGATGCTTGTCACTATGGCATAATATAGCCTAACTGAATAATACATAAAGGGACAGTAAAATGGAATATTATCAATAGTCAGCTGTTGGAAAATGATTATCAAAACCCTTTCCTATTGTACATGCCACTTTGATCTTCCATTAGGTTTCCTGTTCTATTTTGCTGGGTCCTAGGTGGCTAAGTGACTAGATATCATTGCTTATGCAAAAAATGACCCTTGGTTGGTAAATTGAATTTAGACTGGAAACAACTATAGACTATCAGCACCTGATAGGGATGCTGTAGCTTTGGGGTTCCCTAAGTATAGTGACTCTTACAACTGGCATTTCCTTTGTGGGAACCCTGAAAGCTGTAGCTGTGGAGTCATTTTAAGAGATACCATTTCTGTGTTGCATGAGTCTTTGAAGCCAGGGTAGCTCCCACATCCACCAGATCTTGTTTCCTTGTATCTGAGCTGTCCCTGATGAGGCCCAGAGAGGAGCTGTGGACG